ACCCAGGGAACCAATCAGGTGATTAGAGGGTTGGAACTTTCAGCCCCACCCCTCCCCCTCTGACCTCCAGGGAGGGGAGAGGGGCTGGGAATTGAGCTTAATCGTGAATGGCCAATGATTTTATCAGTCATGCCTCCATAATGAAACCTCCATAAAACCCCCCTAAAGTACAGGGTTCAGAGAGCTTCTGGGTTGGTGAATAGGTGGAGGTGCGGGGAGAGTGCTGTGCCCAGAGAGGGCCTGGGAGCTCCACATCCTTCCCCCGCATACCTTGCCCTTTGCATCTCTTCCATCTAGCTGTTCCTGAGTTATATCCTTTATAATAAACTGGTAATCTGGTAAGAAAAATTTTCCTGAGTTCCGTGAGCTGCTCTAGCAAATCAATCCAATCTGAGGAGGGGGTCTTGGAAACCTCCAATTTGCAGCCAATCAATCAGAAGCACAGGTAACAACCTGGGCTTGCAACTGGCATCTGAAGTGGGGGGCAGTCTTGTGGGACTGAGCCCTTAACCTGTGGGATCTGATGCTAACTCCAGGTAGACAGTGTCAGACCGAACTGAATTGCAAGACATCCAATTGGTGTCACAGAACTGCTGCATGTGGGGGAAAAAAACCACACATATCTAGTCTCAGAAGTGAAATATTCTGAGTGTTGTAGCAGAGAAAAACAAGAGTTTTTCATTTATACTCTCAGAGCAGTGGTTCAAACAGCAGCTACCTCCTAAAATGGTTTCTTCTCCCAGCTCCCTGTGTATTTATGCACTGAAAACATGCCTACCCTCAAGAATATTAAGGTTAATACTAGGGTTACCTCTGCATGGTGAGATCATGGTTAATTTTTATGGGTTTGTTTGTTTTATTGTATGTTTGTTTGGGGTTTGTTTTGCTTATCTGTTTCTACAATTAACAAATGAAACTGGTGCCATTCAAGACAAAAGGACAGAGCCTGCTGCTTCTGTACCTTTTAGCAAGAAACACAAAACCCTTCCCCAGGACTTCTCTGGTGGTGCAGTGGTTAAGAATCCGCCTGCCAAAAAAAAAAAAAAAAAAAAGAATCCGTCTGCCAGTGCAGGGGACACGGGTTTAAGCCCTGGTCTGGGAAGATCCCACATGCCGCGGAGCAATTAAGCCCGTGCACCACAACTACTGAGCCTGCCCTCTAGGGCCGCGAGCCACAACTACTGAGCCCACGCACCACAACTACTGAAGCCCACGTGCCTAGAGTCCGTGCTCTGAGACAAGAGAAGCCATGAGAAGCACAATGAGAAGCACACGCTTCTGCAATGAGAAGCACACACACCACAACGAAGAGTAGCCCCTGCTCGCCACAACTAGAGAAAGCCTGCGCGCAGCAACAAAGACCCACACAGCCAAAACAAAAACAAAAAAACTCTTCCCCAAAGCCTTCTAACACTGCCCCTCCCCCCTCCCCGCAGGCCCTCTCCCCCCACCCGGCTCTTAAACCTAAACCTCATTGGCCAGACTGTGTCACATGACCACAGCTCCGCGAGAGGAGGTGTAGTATTGTATTTTGGTTTTCCAACCTCAGCGACCTTGGTAGACAAAGGAGGTAACAGAGAGAGGGGTTGGGAATAATTATCAGGCTAAGCAACCAACAGTGTCAGCAACAGAAGTAGGACACACAGCGAAGAAAGAGGGGACTGTGCAGAGTTTTTCCCAGCCGGGGGTGGGTATTACCACTTTGCTGTGTGACCCTGGGTGTCCAGAAGAGACGCCTGATATTAAAAGTTAGTTAGAGCTCTGGGTTCTGGTTAAGACTTATCTCAGGCATCAAAATGAACCTTTCCCTGTCCTCATTAGTACTTTGTAGCAGTAGTAATTATTATTATTTTTTCAAATTTCAATAATTTATTTCATCTGACCCAGTATATCCAAAACACTATGATTTCAACATGTAACCAAGAGAAAAGTTATTAATGAGATATTTTACATTTTCTTTTTTCATACTCAGGCTCTGATATCTGGTGTGCACTTTGCAGCACATCTCAATTTGGATTAGCCACATTTCAAGTGTTCAATAGCCACATTTGGCTAGTGGCTACCAAACTGGACTGCACAGCAAGCTCTAAAGAGAGCTGATCTAGAGCTAGAGGGAGCTCTAAAAAGACTTTGATCTAGAGTTAGAGAGCTCTAGAGTACTAGCAATAGTAATTATTATTACTATTTACAAAGTGCTTTTTTCTTTTAGTAGATTATTGCTATCTTTGTATTACAGTTGAAAAAGTAAACTCAAGGAGGTTAATATTGGTAACAAATTTACATTTAAAAGGGCACTGACTCTTTCC